TTTTTAACAACAAAAAAATTAAGATTTTTATGAACATGTACTAACTCTCCACAATAAGAATATTTTCTTTTTGAGGGGTACCAGGGTTCAAACTCATGATCTTGCACCTGCCAGGCAAACACTTATTTCACTAGTCTGTCTCTCCAGCCCCACCTAATTCTCCACAACAAATGTAATCATTATGCACTACAAACATGTAATAACAAAAAGTTCACCACAGGAATTGAAACTTGGGTCTATGGATGTCTTCCAGAGACTAAAGCTCAGAATTCTCAATGGAAATCACCCAGATCTCCTCAAGCCAAATAAAAGCATGTCAGTCAACATCCAACATCAAGTGATGTTGGTCATGTTATGTCTCCTGCCCACTTCATCTACATGAACATGGGAGCCTAGGGAGCAGCCCAGTCTCCCCTAACCCAGACTGCCCCAATCTGTTCCTGCAGGGCAAAGACCAAAGAGCTGTCCAGACTCTGGCCCCTGCACAGGTACCTCAGAACTCTTTTCTCCTTTTTAATACCCAGGGTCTTCTTCCCTCTACCAGGGCAGTAAGAGCAAGTCTTGTGTCCTTTGCAGACAGAGAGAAGCTGCAGCTCATCGGTGGTGATGGCAAATGCTCAGGGAGAGTAGAGGTGTGGCATGAAGGCTCCTGGGGAACAGTGTGTGATGACTCTTGGGGCCTGGCAGAGGCCGAGGTGGTGTGTCAGCAGCTGGGCTGTGGCCCTGCCCTGGATGCCCTGGGAGAGGCTGCATTTGGCCCTGGAAATGGAAGCATCTGGCTGGATGATGTAGAGTGCCAGGGCCGGGAGTCCTCCCTGTGGGCCTGTGCCAGGGCACCCTGGGGACAGAGTGACTGCAAGCATGAGGAAGATGCAGGTGTGAGGTGCTCAGGTGAGTCCCAGGGGCAGGGGCATGGGCTGTGGCTGCAAAATTGTGTGTGTGTGTGTGTGTGTGTGTGTGTGTGTGTGTGTGTTTCCAGGAGCCCTTCCTAGACTGCCCTCTGCACAGTACTTTGGCTCGAGAGAGGCTGAACTGTGAACTCCTCACATGGGGGAGAGAAACATGTGTAGCCATAGTAGTTGTGACCTGGTTATTGTCTAGTCAACGAAGGGCACTGACCCCAATTTCTTTCTCCTCTCATCAGGTGAAAAAAATACTCCTCTCTCCACCCCTAAATGTAAGTGGTTCTTCTGTATGGTGAAACGTAATAGCGGAAATGTTCTGAATTTTCATAACCCACACTATGGAATCTCACATTCTTCTTACAAAAATTCCTGTAGACTTTGTAATATAGTGTTAGAGACAATAATTAAATTTGTTAAGTTGTATCAGCAAAGGGCACCTATGGCTCAACAGCATTACCTTAGGGAAATCCTTTAGAGTGAGACTGAAGCAATAGTTGTCACAGGTTAGTGTGGGATTTGGGCTTGTATATTTGGCCTCAGATAGATGCACTGTAATAGGGGATAGCGGAGGACTGAGATAAGTGCTTTCCTCTGAGTTTATGAATTTTCTTTTTTAATTTTTCATTCATTTCAGTGACACAAAATAACAGTGAATCAGTTTCAGTTCAGGTTAGTAGGACAGTTACAACAATTACTACATTGCATATTTTCTTCATAATATTTATTCAGATGACAAGATGCAGATATGATATCACGTCTAAACAATGCTATTACAAATCATTCTTCTCATTGAACTAAAAGAAAGTAGTCCTATATCTATTCTATAATATTCTATAATATATATATTACAGACTTCTCCAAATACAGCTCCTCTACCAGCAATGGAGTATCCATCTCTGACAAAACAAAATGAAAAAGGGGGATATAAATATAGGACCATTTTGTAGTAAGTTTATGGCCTTTTCTAAAGTCATGTTTCCTTCTCAGGCACAAATTCAGTCTCACCCTCTGTACCTGGCTACTTCTCTGTATATCAGATCCTCAGCATCATCCTGGGAACACTTCTTCTGCTGGTCCTCATTATCTTGGGAACTCAGCTGGGCAGATGGACAGCAGGAATTCAAGGTGGAGTTTGGGCCGAGGGGATGGCTCAGTAGAATAAGCAGTTGCTTGGCAAGGTGGAGTCTAAGGTTGAAGATGATCTTGAAAGTATCTTGGGAAAGACTGAACTAGTTATGACTTTTTAAAAAAGTATATATGACTAACGTGTATTCTTTTCTTGAAATCTATCTTCTGAATTAGTGACTTGGACTTGGATTTGGATTTAATGTGTAAGCTATTAAATATGGTGATGTAATTAAAAAATGTCAGTACAACTGTCTACAGCACAGTTAGGGTCATGAGACCTACTTATGTCCCTTTAGATCATAGAGTTAAGAAATGGAGGCTGGCAACCAGAAAGATTTCTTGAAGACAATTACTGGGAAATAAAATAATTGTCTAGTTGTAAGACATATGCCTGAAAACTCATGTTGCTTTCTCCAGCTTTATCCAGTGAAGATGCTGTTGATGAGGCCTTGTATCAAGAGATAGAGTACCTTGAGAAATCAGAAAAGACGGATCTTCTGAACAAAGCAGGTGTGTTACACACCCTCCTTTCTGTTCATGAATTTGTCATCAGTATGCATATCTTCAACAAGCACAGACCCACTGTTACCTCAAGCTTACAGAGTATATTAATTATCTTTCCATTCTACAATAGAACTCATGAGTTTATCAAATATAAAGACAAACTTAACCTTGCCACACAGTTTTAGAGATTTTAGTACATGATCACATTGCCTCATTGCTATGGGGCATCTAGTAGAATGAATTTCTCACTTTATGATCTCCAGGGAGCAAAGAGGTCAAGGAGAGTTCAAGGTTGCACCTCCTCATGAGGGTGTATCCCCAGTGATTTAGGACCTCCCACCAACCTCACTTGAATTTTTGCCACATTTGTACAATACAAAACTGAGGGCAAAGCTGTAAACACACAAACCATGGATAAGAGCTGAAAACTAAATCATGGCACACAGCCAGCCTCTTACAAAGACAGGAACTTAAAGTCCACCATCTAGAAGAATAAAGCCTCAATATTTTCTCTGAATTATCCTCCTATAATTCTTCTAAGTGTCTGTCTCACTTGTTTTTTTCTTAATCATTTATTTGTTTGTTTGTTTGGTACAGGGTCTTGCTATTCATTTCAGAC